GGGCTGCGGTGCCGCTGCCGCCCGCTGGGCATCCCCGGCGCCGCGGAGGGGAGCGGCTGCACGGCTTTGGGGCTCTCGTTGTAACGCTCAAGCGTCCCGGGAGGCAGGCCGGAGAGGGGCTGTTCCGGAAGGCCTCAAGGGAGGAGGGATGGCTCAGTCTCATTTGTAGCTGCTCTGAAGTCTTAAATTGGGTGCCTGTCACAACGCTGTTGGAGGGAAAGGCTGTAGGTGAGAGTGCCTGTGACTGTGCATTTCTGCAAAGCCTTATAATAGACCTGTTACGTACTACTGCGATGTTACGGCAGGGCAGATGGAACGAAAGTTAAAAAGGCCCCTCTGGGGTCACACCGGGCAAACCAGGGGCAAGAGGCCGGAGAGAGGTCTTCGCACTCCCCCTAGTTTTGAAACAGCAGTGGTGTTTTGTGGCCCATAGGCAGAGGTGGTGAGGGGCAATTTCCAGAAATGCTTTCACTTAGATCAGTCAGATGCTGTGACTTCAAACTGGGAGGTTTAACTTCAGGGCAGAACTGAAGCAGCTGAAGGCAGGGTACATAGTACTGACCTGTGGCAGGAAACCAGGCAGAAGTCATTTCACCGCAGCTCTTTGTGAAGTCCCTTTGCCAGGTAAGGGTGGGGAGGAGAAGAGAAGTCACTTTATTCTGGAATTATTATTTCATTTGGAAAGTTTCCCTGGGGAAGAGAACGCCTACAGCTGTTTGTAGGGCTAGGTGCTTGCTCTTCTTAGTTTCTGCATGCAACTCATGCATGCATTTCCTGGAGGAGAAAAGGTAGATGACTATGCTGCATTATGTTTGTGTAAAACGGCAGGAAATCTGAGAGCTCAGATAAACAAATGAGTTCTTCTCTCATTCATGTTACAGAAGTGCTCCCTATACTTGAGGTGACGTAGGAAGGGGTTAACTTGGGTCTCAGCAGTGTGTGTTTGGCCTGCATCAACAAGCCCTCTCCCTAGGGAATTCCTCGCAAGACTCAGACCTTAGAGCGGTCCCAGGAACGTTTCCACTTACTGGTGTAAAAGAAGCAGCGCCACTTTGACACGCTCACTGTGGCAGAGTCTTCCAGAGCCACCCCAGCGGGCCACTTCCCAGCACTTCGTGGGGGCGTTCAGTCCCTTGGCCTCATGCTCTAGGAAGTCAGATTCCTGGGGGCTGCACCTCAAATTTGACAGGGACCGGCCATCTAGGGGCTACAATGAGACCATAGCTTTTCTTGCCCTGGTGACGCGGATAGGTCAGAAATTAGGGGCTGTATGTTCTGGCCCACTTATAGGGTCCTCTAACACCACTGACCCAATAATGAGCTAAAAAATGGAAGATGGTGTCCCTGAGGGCCGTGCCAGTTGTCTTTCAGTGCGAGCAGCACGTGCCTGCACGCTAGGTCGAGCTGCTCTGGACCTTTGGGAGAGTGCCAGTCAAGCTGTGAGGGTGCATCCAGCTCTAGGCATGCACCGCGAAAGAGGCAGACCGCCAGGCCCAGGAGCCTCAGCTGCAGATGCCAGCCAAGGCTTGGCGTTGTAGCTCCCGTGAGTGACATCTGGGTTTCCCTACGCGGTTACCGTGGGACAGGGAGCCGGTTGCAACACAGAGAGAGACGCCTTGTGGCCACAGGCTAGGAGGCAGCAGGCACCTGTGCCGAGATAGCTGCATGCTGCAGTCGGAAAGGTTGTAAAAAAAAACAATCTGCTTTTCACTTTGGCCCCTGTATCCTCACTGATAAATACACTGCTCCCGCTCCCCCCCCACCCTTTTTTTTCCCCAAAGTGACCATTCACTGTGATGCTATAGAAAATTACTCAGCCCTTTTAAGAGCTAATACACCCAAATACACAGTTTGTGCTTAGCAGTGGTACACAAAAGAGGCTGGCAAGGAGACTAGGACTGGGCAGGTCCCAAAAGGGGCAGCTTTCAAGTAATCTGGAAATCTTTCCCACTAACCAAGTGAAAACGTACCAACCAACCAACCAAGTCCAAATGTACAGAAAAGAATGAAAGAGGAAGTAATCCTGTATTTGAAACTGAAGTACCTTTCATGACCTAAATGCTGAAACAAGTGAGCATTACGGGGTTTTGCCGTGTATGGATTCTGACTTATGGCTCAGAAAGGCTAACAGATATCAACCAGCTGTGCAGCATCAGTGAAGAAAGGAGAACTGATGAATCCTTTTCCAAACATATGAAGGAGAAAAAGGTGACTGGAAGCCCTCAGTATGGATTTACCATGGACAAATCCTGTCTGACACCCTGGTTGCCTTCTATCAAGAAATGACTGGCTAGACAGGTGAAGGGAGAACAAGGGATGTAATATACCTTTAGTAAGGCTTATGATGCCCTGCTATCTCCCACAGCGTTCTCATTTGGAAGCTGAGAGAGTATAGGCTGGACAAACAGCCTGATGGATAGTCTGAAAAGTGAGCAGTCCTCCAGGCTCAAAGGGTCATAATCACCAGCTTGATGTCTAGTTCATGACCAGTAACAAGTGGAGTCAGCGAGGGGTTGATACTGAGGCCAGTATTGATCAGTATCTTTGTCAGCAACGTGAATGATGAGACAGAATGCATCCTTGGCAAATTTGTGGGTGATACTAAATTGGGGGGGGAGCTGACACTTTCAAACAGTAGAGCTTCAGTTCCAAGCTGAAGCTCCCAGTTCCTGAGAAACTCGAGGATCATGCCAACAGAGACTTAGCAAGTTTAACGAGAAAGGCAAAGTTCCTCACCTGTGCCACAGTAACCCTGTGCACCAGTACAGACTGGGAACTAACTGGCTGAGCAGCAGCTCTGCTGAGAAGGACCTGCACGAATAGGAATACAAGCCAATATGCTCTCATTGCAAATAAGGCAACTGTCATACTGGGCAACATTAGGGCTCCAATACGCCGCATCGCTGGCAGATCAAGGGTGGTTATCATCCTTCTCTGTTCAGAGCTGGTGAGGCCACGCCTGTAATACGGGGTCCACCTTTGGGCCCTCCAGCGTGGAGAAACTGGAGAGGTGGTTAGGGGCTTAGGGCACATGAACAATGAGAAAAGTTTGAGGGAGCTGGGGGCTCTTCGATCTGCCAAAGAGGACATGTGAACAACTACTTGAAAGGGAGTTACAAAGATGATGGAGGCAAACTTTTCTCCTTTCTCCTTGGCAGATGATAAAACAAAGGCAACAGCTGCAAATTGTGGCTTGAGAAATTCAGGTTGGGTATTAGGAAAATTTTTTTTTTTTTAGGCAGGTAGTGTAGCAGAGGAGCAGGCTACCTAGAGAAGGTGGCGGATCTCCATCCTTTGAGGTTTTCAAAATCTGGTTAGACAAAGCCATGGCTGACTTGACCTGATGCTGGTGACAGGTCTGCTTTGAGCAGGAGGTTGAACTTCAGATTTCCCTTCCAACCAACATTTCTGTGATTCTCTGAACAAGATGTAGGCAATTATGGATTACCATATGTGTACCATCCTGCAGACAACTTGGCAACTAGAAGTTGATAAATTGTGAGAAATCTTCCAAAAAGGACTTGGCTGTCCTAAAAGCACACAAAGCAATAAAGTGCACAAAATCCGTAATGTAATCGTATTTCAAGAAAGAGGGAAAGAAGCACAGTGCCTCCACTCTGATAAAAATGGTAAGCCAGTAGTTACTAGATCACTATTAAAATACGGCTACCTGATCTAGGCATATGCTCCTGGAAAAAGTTCTTGCATTTCAGAATAGCTGTATTGGTTCAGAAACAGCACCATGTCAAGCCTTGGCTCCATTTTCACTACTTCAGAGTAACTTCACTGTTTGATGATAAATC